AACAGAGGGAAAGAGAATATTATTAATAACTAATCAAAATAAATTTTTTAAACTAATATGCAATTTTTTAAAAGCTTCTAGACATTTATTGATGTAAAAATTGAAAACTGTCGTCTCCGTCCTAAAAACTCAGCTTTGCCACTAATTATCACAGAATTAATAATCATTAATGAACTAAAATCTTAATATTCTAAACTATAAGAAAATGTATTTTGTTATTCACAAATCTTTTTTGATTAAACATATATTTGAATCTTTAACAAAAATTATTTTACAGATCCACAATCATTTTACTGGGTGATAATGACGCTTTCTATATTTAATGTGTTATATTTGAACACAAACAACAAAAATGAATACATCAAAAATCAATATATATAATATATTTGGAATTTCTCTATGGTTTATAATGGCAATAATTATTAATTACACAGTGATAACTAAATCGTCTGACATAGAAAAAAATATAAACGAAACTGAAGTATTTTATTATGAAATTCAACCGGAACTTTTTAATTGGACAAATGGTAAGTCTAGCCTTGACTAAAGTCATGATAAAAAATAATATTAATATTTGTAAATGTTGAATATTTAAGATATTACTTAGGGGCAGATCCAAAATTTTTTCAAGAGAAGAGTGTAAACAATTTCTAGACGTCAAAATTAATTTTTAGGCAATTTTATAATTATAAAGGCTGTTATTATTAGGCGATGATAGTTCAAGGAGAAAGCGCACACCCCTTGTATTTACCCCTGGATCCGTCACTTATATTACTTAATATTTGAGAATATATACAAAGTGGCGGATTTTCAATATTTTTCTGGACAAGGTCCTAAAGAATAAAATTTAATCCACATATTAAATATTATTTAATATAACACTTAAGAATTTAAAAATATTGGTTTCGGGGGCTCTAGATCTCCTTACTTACTGTATGTACATAATAATTTTATATTTGTAGGAATTGATGGTAATATGTTTAATTACACACCTTCATTACAAAATTATCCAGATTTACCATATTGGATACATTATAAATTTAATGAAAAAAATAAATTCGGATATATTTATGGTACTCCACCTATTTCATCTGAAAATCAAATCAAGGTAATTACAAGAATCTAAACAATGACTTTTTTAAAATGGGTGAAAGTATTAGATCCTAATATAAAGTGGAGGATTTTCAAAATTTTTTGTAATTCCCCT